GACTTTCTCCATAGTATTTTAACTCGGTCCCCTTGTAACTTGTTTTTGTCTCACTGTTGCTCCCTCTCTGCTTCTTCTTCTCCTGCTGTTGATGGGTGTACGAGGGTTCTTGATTAGAACACACACTGCCGAGCTCCCCCTCCATCGCATCATTGCATTTGATTAGCTTCAGCCCCATACCTCCCTTATCACTACCAGCACAACAGGAAGCACAGCACACACACACACACACACACACATACAGGTACACATGCATACATATCACAAACTCACTTGCAGACTTATCTGAACTCCATGGTTGCCTCCAAACGTGCACTGGCATATATGACTCTCCCCACACTTGCGCACGCATCTGGTGTGCGTCTGGTTTCGTGGCAGCGGGGTATCAAGTAAAGCCAGCACGGCACTGACAGCTCCGTGTCCCTAATGAAGCATTAATAAACTACAGCACAAAACAGTGGATCAGAGAAGTGGAGCTCCCCACCTGCCTGGAAAGTCTGCTGACTGCCAGAGGGAGAGATGAGGAGGGAGAGGATCACTGTAATCCCCATTCTCCAAAACCCCTCTGCTCCACTTTTCTGGAAGACATCGCAGACAGACAGACATACAAACACCTGCTAAACTACTCCGAACTGCCCTAGTGGTAGTTCTCACTACACTACACGTGTCTGCGTAACTGCACTTTTCCACGATAACATGCAAACACACAAGCGCACGGGCTCAGAAGGTGAAAACAATACCACTTAAGCTATAGCTTAGCTTTAGCTCTGTAAGAGACTTCACATATTATAGTTAAGCTGCTACAAAGTGCCACCCAACATGTCAGCAGCTTCTACACTTAACTACAGCCAGGAGTGCAAAAGGATTTGCTTCACAGTTGTTGTTATTCTCGACATTATGCATTAATTTGTTAGTTTGATAGAAAGTTAATTTCCATGCATGCAGAACAATAAAAAGGAAAAAAAAGCTTCCAGTTCTCAAGTTCTCAGAAATGTACACTTCTCAACATGCTCAATTTCAGCTCAGAACGAGTAGAGAAAAATGGCAAATTTGCATTTTTTTCTCTTGTACCCTTTTTGCCCACCTTGCATTGATTTTATGTTCCTGCAGCACTGCATAGTTTTCAGTTTGAGAAACACACACCTTAAATGTGGGCAGTGCTAATCAATTATTTGCAAGCACCCGGCTAACTTCTGCATATCCAGCACAGCGCAGCACGTCACAATTAGACAAATTGTTATCCCAATTTGAAATCCACTTGCCGTTAAAAGAGCAAGTTGCAGAGTTGATCAAGTGTTGATTTGTGACGGTGTGTATTCAGAATTTCCCACAGCACATGAATTCGCAATTAGGCACATAGGTAGTTCAGTTACAATGCATCCCACAATGGCAGACAATGCCAGTCCTGTGGTTTAAATGAAGCAAACCTGCTGAGTGCAAAATTTTGAAGGAGGCCTGTCCACACAAATGCTGCATGCTTGTGATTAGAAGAAAGGGGGGGAGCAATTGTTCTGTGAAAGGAGCCAATCAAATCCAGGTCTAGCTGTGATGGACTGACAGGAACGAGTCCATTTTTAGAAAACGCAGTGTCTCAAGTGTAAATAAACCAGAGTTTTGTCTCCTTTAAAAGTCTTTTAAACATTTAAATCTATAAAGCATTATTCTATTAATTGGGCCCCAGGATGTTTGCTTTTCTTTTGGGGTGTCCTCTTGTTCCCTAATCATATGCCATCTCTCACTGTGTTTGTGCTGGAATGCCAGTGCTTTAGTGTCACTTGTCTTTGTGTATCCTTATGGGTTTTTCCCCCTCATTATCCTAGCAGCCCAGACCATGCTGAGATTCACTCTAGCGAGGGAGAGTGATCTAATTGGCAGCAAGGATCATTCTAATTTACTGACTTTTTACCTTTCCTCTTTCTCCTCTTTGCTTTTTTGTTGCCACTTTTCACCTGAGAAATGATTAGAAAATATAAGTAAAAACTCCATGTAGTTTGCTATGGCGAGCATGCTTTTTTCTGTCTTTCTTTTTTTTTTTTATTTGAGCTTGTTACACCGATCACATTCGCCCAGGCAATTTGCCTGCTTGTCTGAGTCTGAGAAGGAAAGCTTATCTGCACTAACGCCCCATCGAGGCTGTGCGTCGTATCCAAATCGGCCCCTGTTAGCATTCAAATCAAGCGCCCCCACCTCTCCTTCCTGTTCTACCTAGCTCTCGTGCCCCTTACTATCGCCTCCACCCCTTCTTGCCTGTCAACACGCCAGATTTGCTTGGAGGAAAGGGAGGTTGGGGAGGGAGAGAAAGCCCAGGCTATTATTTAATGAGATCAAGAAGTGCTACGAGGATGCTGTTTACTCTAAGGAAAGGGGGAATCACTGGGTTTCTTTCTCGTCTTTCTCCTACTCTTCTTTAGATGTGACTGCAACCCCTTAACAACCACTATTTTATAGAAGAAGTGAGCATTCTGACAAGGTACGACTTCTTGTCAGAAAACAACTCCCATTCCCAACAGCAGGTCTATCAAAACAACACGCTAAATGGACTAGCACTTATATAGTACGTTTCTAGTCTCACTGACCAAACTACAAGAGCCACATTCACCCATTCACACAGTGCTTCATCCATCATACACCAGTGCTACTGTGGGGTTCAGCATCTTATCCAAGGACACTTCGGGATCGTGTAACAGCCCTTATGAATAGTGAATGACCGACTGTACATCCTGAGCCACAGCTACCTGAAGAAACTTGATTGTACAAGCCCTGGACAAATTGCAGTGTGATTGCTGCGGTCTTCTTTTTGGCGGTTTGTGGGATTCTGCTGTGGCTTGTACCTTTTATCAGATGTACAGGAGGGGCTCAAAGTTGAACCTCTGCTCTTGTGACTTTGGGGTAGGTGTGAGCAAAAGAGAAGGGAGAAGGAAACATCCAAGGGCTTATTTCCCACAGCAGTATGAGTGCACCAATTCATGGTTCGTCTTGCTTTATCATTATTAGATGACATAAGCTGATGGATCAAATGGGAGTTAAGTCATACATTATCCTTGGTTATTTGGGTTTTTGTTGTAGCTTATTCAGCTTGCCTTATATGTGTAAAAATGGGGAACAAGATGCTAATGATGAAAGTTGAATAACAGCTGATGCTTTTATCCTGATGCTCAGACTTCAGACTCCACTTCTCTTTCCAAAACACTGGAGAAGTTGGATATCAAACTTCCAGATAGGGCTTTACTACCTCAGCATCAGCTCCTCTGAATCGAGTAGAACGTGCCAAAGCCAGACAAACTACTCTCTGATTGCTGGATCATTCTTTGAGCTCACTTACAGGATGTATAATTTCTCAGAGGAGCCCGAGATCGCACCTTCAACCTTACGATTATTAAGCAGGCGAACTCATAGCATATGCTGGGTAACACAGTAGTTTGTGCATGTGCACTGAAAGTAGCTCGCGTATAATTGCTGCAACTGTGATTTAACATGACCTTTTACCTGCTCCGGCAGATACAACAAGGTTTTTATAGCGGCTCCGTTCCCACAAGTCATCAGCGTTTCATTGTTCATGTGATTAGACACACAGCGGAGGCCAAGCATCACAATTGCTATCTGTTTCGCATGAGCAGCCATTAAGTCATCATCACCTCACAATGACCTATGATTTCCAGTAATGATTTATGATTTCAGTTTGTCATTTTCTACGAGTCTCTTTTAGTTAGAGATGCAATTACTTGATCGTACTTTATCTTGAAGTTACTTGTAAATTAGAGTCGGTTTTAAAGTTCCTGCTGCGATACAGCTCAAATATAAAATGGGGAGGGGGAAAAAGTGTTCATTAAAGCGCCTAACGCACCAAACCTCAAAAGAACTTGACAGGAAAGAGCAAAAAAAAGAGGAAAAGAAAGGAGGGTGGTGGGGATGTGTCATAAAGACGAGGAAGGCGAGGGAGGGGGGGTATGCTTTGATCAGGAGCACTCCTCATAGCTCTCCTGTCTTCTTACACATCCATAATATATCTCTGCACACATTCCAGTCTCTTATTAACAAGGCAGTGCCATTTCATCCCGGAGGCAGGTATTGAATTTTCAAAAAAGGTAGAAAAGAAAGAAGGCAAATTTGAAACACGCTCTGCTCTTGTCTGAGGAGTAAAGAAAAAAACGCACACAAAAAAACAAAGCGAGACGCACAGAGTTTGCGATTCAATATATACACTCCCGCTTTAAATTAAATTCATCGATGTTGCTTGTAACAAAAGCGGGGATAATATCAGACATTGGTAAATATTTATTCTAAAAGTGGCGGGCTTAGGAAATGAGAGGGCTGCCGATGCCGCGCTTCTCTCTCATGGGAAAGCATGTTTGTCTGTGACAGTCATAAATATGTATCATGCTGTGAGAAGACAGCGATTGTAATCTCACAGCTGCCTTTTGTTGAGCATATGAGGCCCGAGAAAAGCCCCCGTTGATGGCGCACAAAGGCAAAATTAAAAGTTGCACCTTCTCCTCGGATTGGGGTACGTCGCTCAGCGGCAAGTGGCGTGCTGCTTAATTAGGATGGAAACAAATTCCTCACGAGGGAGGAATACCCCTCTTCCCTGCTCTCACTTGGTCTAATTTATGGAAAGGTAAATATTCAAGGGTCGCTTTTCAGCCGTGCCGATTAAAGCATGCTTGAGCGTAGCGACACAGAATGTGTTGTGAATGCAAAGCTTCTAATCCAATTCACACTACTCTGTGAAATGAAACTTGTTTGTACTAGTAGATAGCTGTGGCAGTGCATCTTTACCCAGGGGTGTCAAGTAGTTCTTCAAACCTCAGAATAACTAGGCAGCGCTTGTAAAAGTGCACCGAAAGCCACTTGAATAAGGTGGCCTGTCATTTGTGATGCACTCCAGTGTACTGTAGCGGCGAGCACTGTGACGTATTAGCGCTTGACAGACGTGCTCTTCAGTGCAAGAGCCCCTTTTGCTTTTGACTAAAGCTTGTTTTTATGTCTGCCCCTTCCTGCAGCTCTGAAGGATCCCTGTACCGAGGTGGCCTGCAGCTACGGCAGCACCTGTGTCCAGTCTTCAGATGGCTTGTCGGCAAAGTGCATGTGCCCCCTCGGCTGCGAGGGCAAGCCCAAGCAAGTAGTGTGTGGTAGTGATGGAAAGGACTACGTGAATGAGTGCGAGCTCCATCAGCATGCCTGCAAGAACAAGAAGAACATTCGTGTGCAGTACCAAGGACACTGCGGTAAGCTCTCGTTGTGTTTTCTGTGTTTCTGTTTTTTGTAACACTGATTTTGAGCACAGGTAATATTGAAGAGTTCCCATCACAGTTTATTTTCTTTCCCAACCCAACTCCGCCCTATTTTGCTGTAGCAGGGAGATGTCCCAGAGTCACACTATCAAATATAAATTGTTGCAAAATATGGAAATACAAAAAAAACCCCTGATAGTATCAAAAATTACATTTCCAATGGTGAAAATGTCATTTTTGTTGAGATTTTTTGTTTTAAATTGTCAGAAAACCTTTTCTTCCCTTTCCACTGTTCCCTACCTCTTCCTTTTGTGTTCCTCTATCACATACCCTGCTTATTTAAGGCACACCTCCACTCTAATTCTCTAATTCATTCAGGTTGCTTTTCCCCACACAGGTTCTCCTACGATGCAGATTGATGTTTTCTTTAAATAGGTTTTAAGAGCAGTTTTTTGTGTTGTTTTTGGCTCATCCTTGTTCTCATCAGGCAATTGTTGTTTACTCTCAAGGCGCTCGACTATTTAGCTCTTTTCATTCTGTGGCGAGGAAGACGGAGGGAAAGACTACAGATAGTAACTCTGTCTTTTAGCAGCAGGAGCCTCCAGGAGACAGAGCGGGTGGTAGGCAACGAGAGATGGATGTGTTTGTCCACAGGCAGAAGGTTGGTCGTATAAATCCAACGTGAGTCGGCCAAAGTGACCTGGGTTGCACCGTCTCCCCTGGGGACGGCGTCAGCTCAGGGGACTGGTTGGCCCTGATGGTGCTTTAAATCTTCCTGCAGCCATTTCAACTGAGCATTGGCTATTTCAACTTGCTAGCCCGCGCCAGGCAAATGCTGTTGATTTATCTGCACTGCTAGTTTTTACAGAAAACAACCTATTCTTTTTGTAATCACCCCACTTGCTCAGCTAGAGGAAAAGCATGGACTCTAGAAGCTGTTCTTCTCGCTTAATGGGTAGTAATGGTCTTTCTCTCAGATAATGGTCTGGCTGGCGGGTCAGGCACTGCGTCATGCAGAGACGCTGCGTGCATTACGATAAAGCCCCTGTTTGCTCAGTTGCAAGTCTCTGCAAGCCTTTGTATTGTGCACACAGAAAACAATCCGAGGCCTGGCCTATGGTCACTCCGCCTCCCACCCCCACGCAGCCAAAGCGCTCCGTCCCTTTTTCTGTCCCAGCATTGTCACTCTTTGTATTGCTGCCAGAGGTCTCTGGAAACCATTCTCCCTTATTCTCTGTTTCTCATTCTCTTTCTACTCTTTTCCCGATGATAGGGTGTTTCATCCTTGGTGTGTTTTGAATGACTCGCCGGCAGCTTGGCAGTGATTTAATATGTCACGGTGCTACATAAATCCTTTGTCTTCCCACATGCTGAAAGCGTGGCGAGCAGGATAAAGCCTGGGCTCCTGTTTCAAGGAGTAACACCCCCATCACACACATCCACAAACCAATTCCATTATGATCACGGACTGATAGGGCCAAGCGTGCCAGACCAACACTCCCCTGGAAGGAAGGAGGTGCGAGAGAGCAAATCAAACCGATCGTCTCTTCATCTGTTTCCTTGTCTCCCCTTCACATCCAAGGTCCTACTCTGAGCTGCTCTCAGCTGCCGGGCCACTGATAATATCTGTGAAGCAGATATTCCTCTTCTCTTCTCTTCTCTTCTCTTCTCTTCTCTTCTCTTCTCTTCTCTTCTCTTCTCTTCTCTTCTCTTCTCAGCTGACATATCATAGCTATAAGACTGTTCGCCGCTAATTAAAAGATGACTTACCAACACTTTATCTAACAGGACTTAAAAAGTTTTCTTTGAAAGGAGTTGCCAGTTTGAACACAATTAATCCAGACTGTGCTGCTTTTTTCTTTTGCCAGTCAAGCGTTGTTCACTTTTTTCCGCAGAACCAAAAATGGTCACAGATGTTTTAGATTATGTTTCCTCCGAGTCTAATTACAGTTTTTCACAAATTCTAAGACACATTTCCTGAAACCTTATGGCCTTTTCTCCAAGCTTTAAACACAAGAACCAATTTTCAAACTACTTTCATAAAACCTTTGACTCTTCTAAGAAAAAACACACACACACAAAAATGCATGAAAAGCTCAAAACTACACAATATTTTTAGATAATTTGCTGTCAAAAATAATAACACTACTGAGCATTCATTGCACAGTACTACAGAAATGAGAACACACAATCTCAGCTTTCTGGTAATTTCTTGAAGTATCGTCAGAAATAGTTCTCCAAACTTCTTGAAGGACATTCAAAGCTCCTCTTTGGATCTTGGTTTGTTTTGTTCTTTGTTTGGCATCATTGTCGTGCTGAAAAATTACGTTTTTCCAAATCAGATGCTTTCCATGTACATGGTGAATCAAACTCTCACAGTACTTTCCTGTGTTCATAGTTCCATCATTTGTTGTTAAGATCCTCGACGACACTGGATGAAATGTGGCACCAAACCATGACAGAGCCGCCACCATATTTTACAGATACATGTAGAAACTCATTGTTGCACCTTTATCCTGACCTATCTACAAACATACAATGATTTCAACCAAAATTTTTTAGTTTGTTACTTTGGGTTCACCACTCTGTAGGAGCTTTGGTCCCTGTTTCTGTTGCTTTAGAATTGAGACCATTGAGACTGTTTCTGATGAGGCTTCATTGAACAGTGGATGGATCAACTGTTCAATGAAGATCTAGACCGGGGGTAGGCAACTCCAGGCCTCGAGTGCCGGTGTCCTGCAGACTTTAGATCTATCCTTGATCCACCAGATGATTCAAATTGCTAAATTACCTCCTCAACATGTCTTGAAGTTCTCCGGAGGCCTTGTAACGAACTAATCATTTGATTCAGGTGTGTTGATCCAGGGTGATATCTAAAGCCTGCAGGACACCGGCACTCGAGGCCTGGAGTTGCCTACCCCTGATCTAGACCTTTAGATGGATCAACTAAAGGTCTAGATGCTTTCAGTGCCTCTGTCAGGCCTTTGCTGAAATATTTTTTACGTCTGCTAATTGTTCTTTTGGCCTCCACTTGTCCAGTTTCTTCAATTTCCTAAGGATACATTACACACCATACCAAGGTAATGCCAAGTTTTAGCTAATAAGTCTTTGGTAATCACCTTTTGGTGCAAAAATACAGCTTTTTTGTGTCAAACCATGTTATCTTTTTTGTAGATTCATTTAGAGTAAAAGAAATGAGAACTAATTATGTGTTTTTGTGACAAATTGACAAACCTTTCAGTCACCCAACACATTCCTATGTTATGCGTTCGGAAACAGGAGGAAACATGAAACCCGTTTGGATTCAATCTACACATATACATTTATTTTACTTTCTCAACATGAATCGCTTTGGAAAACACTATCTAACACGATTGTGGTTAAGGTTAAGGATAAGGTTATGGTTAGGGTTAGGGCTCGAATACACGTCTGGAACGTGCGTTACCACTGGGAGCGTCATTCTATTGGATTTCATCCACAACCGGGCGCATGTCATAGGGACACGGAAGGTTACCTTTCGCGTTCCCATTGGACGCCTTGGGACGTGACAAATCGTCGGTATGTTACGTGTCAGGAATGAGAATGTTCTGGTAGACAACACAGGTTAATCCCTGGAGTTAGAAAATGAAACGAAAATGAGTGAAAAAGCAGCCAATGTTCAAAGAAAAAACTCTGGAAGATCTCCAGAAAGCCTGGAGAAGCACTGCTCAAGACCACCGTAAAGAAATTACAAGAGGGTGGTGGTTCAGCTCAGCGAGTTGATCAGGTGACCCGCATGCTACAAGACTAAAGCAGAAGCCTGGGTATTAACTCATTCACTGCCATTGACGTCTATAGCCGTCAATTGCAGTGAATGAGTCAATGGGTTTAACTCATTCACTGCCGATGGCTGGCAGTGAATGAGTTAATCTAACCTGTCTTCTCCTTGTCTTTCTCTTCCAGCTTCTTCTCTTCACTCTGTTATTGCTAAAAAGCCCAAACGTGTATTTTTTTTTTTAAATGACAAAAAAAAGGTCTGGCCCCTTGGAAGCAAAATTGAACAAAAGACTTTTGAACTGTACCATAATTGTAAGAAGTAAGACTCATAAAAGCAATATTAGCTCTGTGTGTGAAAAATACCAAAGGCAGTAGTTTCTCGAGTAAGTCGTAGTTGGCGATGTATAAATCTCCTACTAGAGGTTTCTTCTGTTTGTTTTCATATTGCAGAAACATGGTCTATCACAGCTGCTCAGCAAAGATCATTGAAAATGACTGCTCTAAATTGTGCTCGTTCTTGTAGTCCTCCTCCTCCGCCTCTCAGCTTGTTGCCTTCCATTGTTAGTATCAACCTTCCACTTACCTTTGCTACCTAACATATACAAGTTTCATTACATAATTAGCAGCAACTATTCACATATTTGAGTCACCGTGTTTAAAAAAAAGAAAAACTACATTTCTGCTGTAGCTGTGTTTAATCTCTGCCTCCAGTGGTTAGTATTATGCATCACAGGTGCATCACTGTGGTGAAGTGTGAGAATTTCAGATTCAGAGAAAAGATTAAACGAGATCTGCAAATTGTGTCTAACTAGGTGAAAACTGTTCTGTCATTTATTCGATAAATGGAAGTTTGATAGCATGATTCGGAGAATGGGATTCTGTGCTTTAGCAAAAGTGACAAACTGTAATTCCTTCCCTGTCGTATTGTACTGTATGTTATGCTGTACTGCAGTACACATTCTTCACTCTTTCTCCACAGATCCGTGCAAAAATGTTTTGAACTGCCGCGTGGAGCCTCTCACCCGCCAGCCACTGAAATTTGTGCCACTCGAGTTGTGCCCCCTAAGCGATGAGCCTCTGTGTGCCAGTGATGGCCGGACGTACCCCAGTGAGTGCGCTATGAGGGCGACGGGCATCCAGAAAGGCGTCACGCTCAGAAAGATCCATGCAGGACAGTGCACAACGCTGGGTAAGGCCGAAGCTTGTTGTCTTTAAAGTGTGCAACCCTTTCAATACAGATCCCAGAACATCTTGGAAATACATTTAGTGATGCAAGGGATAAAAATACTCAAATGCCATGACTTATATAAAGGATTCTTTTATGCTGCGTGAAACAGAGATTTAGTAGACCTTGCCCTTCTCTCCCCGTTAATAATCTAAAAAAAAATGCAACATAATAAGATGAGATGAATTCAAATATTGTAATTTATCTGCGTGCAGGTATAACAGGGAGTAGCCATTTGTCTGTCTAGGTCAGAATTGTTGAACATAAGGCTCCGGGCTCTGAATCTGTCCTGCAAAGACTTCAATCTGGCTCACAGTTTCTGGTTTTGGAAAATGTGAAGGAGGGCATAGATTCTGGATTTTTTAATGAATTTTAATAGTTTTTACTTTAGCTTTTCTTGCTCACAGAGACCTCCCCCACGGCCAAAGGTTTGTATTCTTTCACTATGAGCTATAGAAAGTTCAGTTTCTACATTTCTTTCATTTCTACAGCAGCATTTATTTATCGTGTAGAAAAAGTAAGAGAAACTCTTAAAGTTGAAGTTTCATATATTAAGAAATCTCCTGCATTAAATGTGTAGTTAAATGAAAGGGCAGTTTCACTGGTCCGGCCCACTTAAGATCAAAACTGAGTGCATGTAGAATGAGTCAGACATCCCTGCTTTTGGTCTTTTGTTATTTGACTTATCCAAATTTCTGTTTCGTGGTATTTGTAAAATTCAACAATATAATATCTTTCTATATTGGTATGTGACTATACAGAAGCTCACTTAAGTCTCATTTGTAGTCTGTTGTAGGCTGACCAATCGTATTTGAGCAGCCTTGACACGGTGTCTTAAAAAGAGCAGACTTGCTGAAGATCAGGGGTGGGCAACTCCAGGCCTCAAGGGCCGGTGTCCTGCAGGTTTTAGATATCACCCTGGGTCAACACACCTGAATCACATGATTAGTTCATTACCAGGCCTCTGGAGAACTTCAGGACATGTTGAGGAGGTCATTTAGCCATTTAAATCAGCTGTGTTGGTTCAAGGACACATCTAAAACCTGCAGGACACCAGCTCTTGAGGCCTGGAGTTGCCCACCCCGCATCTACAGCAGGTTCTAGCAGTAGGAAAAGTGACATACATTTAAATGTCTTGTGTATCTACTGATATTTCAAGACTTTACTTTACTTACTACACAACTGTCTGCTTGATTTCAGAATCTGCATGATGGGAAACTTTGTTTGCAAATGTATTACAAGGGCCAACTAATATTAATAGTGAAGTCTGTGTTTCAGTCTGGACAAACCACTCTATTGAAACCCCAGCAAGAAAAAGGACAACAAGGAAAGCAGCCAGTGAAAATGTTTGGCTTGTCGGGGTTATATATGCGTGGTATATATGGTATCAGTGAAACCTTGCTATCGTATTACCATATATTATGCAAGAATTGAAATACTTTCAGCCAATGTTTTAACACATACAGGTAGACTAGCATCAAAATCAAACTTTAAAGCTGTGTTCCAGAGAGATAAATTACTGCCGGGTCTCGGGGTCTGTATTATATCCATGCTAGCACTAGCCTCCTCCAGCCTGATAAGAGCCCCCAGGGCTGTTATCTGTGCTATTACAACATGAGGTTTAGGCCGTAGTCAACAAAGAGCTGTCAGCCTTTACTGTATGTCTGATAGCCATCGGAGGAAATCCAATTTTCCTGGTGTGTTGTTACTGAAGTCCCACAAAGCTACAGCTCTACGGGTTTACGGCAGTAATGTGCGGAGACCCCCACCCATGTATTAAAACCCCCTGACAACACCAAGGACAGATCACCGCAGGACGTCTTTTGGTATGGTCAGCAACGGAGGCTGATACAGCCTGGTTCTTCTCTCTGCTCCGCTTGACAGGCCGATGTTAGCGTCAGGGCTTAAAATTGCCCAAATCCCAGCCTAAGTAGCGTTGTGTGTGCTGTATGAGAGTGTGTGTGCATGCAGACATGTTCATGCATGTGAGCAATGGGATAGACTTTTTTTTCTTCCTTTTTTCCTCTCTCTCTTTCTGCTGTGCCTTTTCAAATGAAAGAATAATTCAATTTGAAACAGAGATCCATGAAATCATATCCCTAAGCAAATTACAAATTGGTAACTAATGAAAATGGCCATTTCGACTTGTAACCATGACATTGCACATCCTTGTACCCCTTTCAGTCTGATACAGCGCCGATGTAATTAAGTGTGGCATGACAGGCTTTTAAAGAGAAGAGAAGAAGGAATTGAATTGGTGTACAAATTTGATCCACTGATCAGGAATGGAATAAATTCAAGTGCCTCCAGAACAGAGGCTTGCCTCAAATTGAATTTTCTCACTTCAGTGGCAAATTTGCCATTTCACATTACCAGTATTTCGCTTTTTCTTAATTTCCATAGTAGATTTCTGCTTAGTGAGTCAAAATGGTATGACTTTAATAGTTTAGACTTAAACATGACCCTAAAATGAAATTCATGATTATTCTTTTTATTAAAGTTTTTGCAAAACTTTATTATTAAAGTTAGAGGGGAGCACAGGCATGCTGATCGAGTAAGGTTTTGGGGGGTATTTGCAGTCTTATTAGGTGTCCCTTCATAGTGCAGGCTACTAGATTTGCTTATTTTTTGCTAGCGGCAAACCAGTAAACTAAATGGAAAAATGGAAATGGAAAAAACAGGCCGTTTTTTTTTTTAAATATCATTTTTTGGGGGGCATTTTAGCCTTTATTTGATAGTAGAGAGCTGAAGATAAACAGGAAAGTTGAGGGAGAGAGAAGGGATGTGCAGCAAAGGGCCGCAGGTCAGTCTTGAACTCGTGCTGCTGCGCTCTAGCCGTGTAACATATGGTCACCCACTCACCCACTGAGCTAAACTGGCTCCCAAACAAGCTTTTAAACTGCAGCGAAAGCTATAACTATTATAAAAAAATATGTCTAATAACTCCTCTGGTACTCACTCTCATTCATCCAGCCACTACTCTTGGCTTTAGCTATCATTTCTAGTCGATTACTCCCTGTAAAATGTAATGTGAACTTACTTTGTGGACAGTTTTGTGGCCTAATGTGCGTAGAACAGATAACCTGATGTAACAGATGGTTTGTTGCACAGAACCATCTGGGAAGCAATCCTTGTTTGTTATAGGGAAGAAAACAGCACAAAAAATACACAGCGGATGACGAGATGAACCTTCTGTATGTCAGTGTCTAGTTCAGGCGAACGTCAACCAGTCACATCAACAAACCGCAGCTAGAATCACAGTAACTTTGTAAGAACGTCTTCTTCTTGCTCATACAAAGCTGATTGGTTCAAACCACTGCAGTCACCTGGCAAGACTGGGTCTTTTGTGATTGTGTCTTTTAAGAATCCAGCATCCAAGAAAGGTTATGTAACAAATTAAGCATCAAATAAACTACTTGACAGGAACAAATGTGGTCCGACTTCTTTTTAAGCACTACTGCCTTACGCTGGTGTGTTGGCTGATCTGAGCATGTCATTTCTAGTCTATAGAATAACTGTATGTTCCAGCGTGTGTTGTTTGTCAGAGATTGACAGCTAACATGGGCCTTCTGCAGATATGCTGGAAGTATTGGCAAATAGGGTGATGCAATCATTTTTATATATGCTGTAGAAAAAGATGCTTGGTGTAAGGACAAAATGCAATCATCACAGACTTTGCCCAACCCACTTTGTGCAGCACATGTAGCATGCCGGCTAATATATGAATCTCTGATGTGTTTCTTTCATGAATTTCTGCAAAAGCCTCTGCTAACATCACCTATCTCCATAAACAACAGTAAACATTCATATAATTACTACTTGGATGATTTATAGCCTGGTTTATGTCCTTATGGTTGTATCAGCAAGTTAACACAGCAGGAAGAACAACAGGTTGACACTTCTCTAGCTTCAATTTTTTGTTGTTGTTATGTTTGCTAAGTACCTCTTCAGTGCTTTCATCTGTGATGATCAGTCTGTCATGCTGTTACAAAATTGGCAGTTGGAAACTAAAAAGCCTAATCAGTCTCTGTACACGTTAAAGGAAAAAAATGAATAAATGAGTGAAAGCAGATGTTCACACATAGAGCAAAAAAGGGTCACTGAATGGTGGGTCTGTAAGGGGGGAAGGGTTAAAGTAGGGTTATCTCCTGTACAATCCAAAGAAGCTGCATTGTTTTGTTTTTCTTGCAGACGAATGCAAGGACTGTCCCTTCTATGGTGTGTGTCTGGTGGAACAGCTGAGTGCCCGCTGCTCTTGTGATCCCATCGAGTGTGACGGCACCTACAAGCCTCTGTGTGGGAAGGATGATAACACATACACCAATGACTGTATGCGACGCAAGGCGGAGTGCCTGAGCAAGACCCCCATCGGCACCAAGCACCTAGGACCCTGTGGTGAGTAGAGCTGGAGACTAGGAAAGGGTGGGTGGTGACCTGGTGGTTGGGATTCCTCCTTCTTTGGCTTTCGCACAAACCAGTGCTGAATCCCTGTCTTGGTGTGTCTTTCTCTGTGTATTTGTAATCCAATTTCAGTCTGTTTTTCCTGCTGAAGAGTCTAGGCTGATGGTACGTTTGTCTGTACTTAAAACTTTCCTGAAAAGTATCTGAAACGGTTGGGTGATGTCCTCTGAGTGGGGGAGGGGTGGGGTGTACATTCAGAAAGGATGGGTGTGCCAAAAAACAAAAACGGTGCCTTCAATTCGTCACCCATTCACCTCCCATCCATCTCCTCACCCCTGTCACGCTTCATCCCAGCATCTCAAACAGACAACCAAAATGAAACGCCACCTTCATGTTTCATTCATCCGCCCTCCGTCTTCTACTCCTTCACTGGTGCCAGTCTTCCACTTCAGTGGCTTTTGTCGTTTTTTCCTCCCTTGTCTTTGTCTTTTTGTCTTGTGTGCTCTTCTTGCATAAAAAAAGCTATTCTTTCTTGTTTCAGTGCGTCAGTCAGTCTGTCTGTCTATGTCCATTTGGCCGGCTTCCCGGTTGTCTGGCTGCAGGTGGCAAGTGGGGTCACCCAGTGGGCGACCTCATCAAGCGGATTCTGAGGGGTGAAGCCCTTCCCCTCGCTTCGTGCGGACCTAACAGGAGGGGTCTTGTACTGCTGTCTTTTTCCTCTCACTCTTTCTGTCTCTCTGTGTGTCTTTGTGGCATTAATGTCTTTTCCTTCTGTTTACCCTCCAGCAAAGATGTGATCCCTGAGGTTGGAGAAGTCTCCCTCTCTCCTCTCTGTGTTTTATTTTCAACCTAACCTGCCTAACCGATGCATACCTCTGGTTAATCTCCTATTGCATGTTCAAAGTGCACGCCAGATCCCAACCTAACAGCTTCCCAAACAATCCCCCCGCTCCATCAATCAGGATTGTGTTGTAAAAAGCTTGCAACAATGCACCAAACCACGTGTAAGCATGATTCCTGCAGTAGGGCTGGAGTTCAGCTGCATTTTAATGAAACATTTTATATCCTACAAGGTCTTGAAAATACGATCATTCAGGTATGTGAGGATTTAAAATTCATTTCTGGATTGAACAGAAACCCAGTGAAGGGCTGAAGTATATGGTAGCAGTAGTAGTAGTTCTACTAGTAGTAGTAGTAATTATAGTTTAATCATATTTTACACAGCTTTTTTTAGAATGTGTTATTTAGCTAGAAAATTAACATTTTGTGCAAATCTGCATTTATGTCTTCTAGAACTGATGTTGCTAAATCAGAAAAATGAAGCCACTCGATTTTGCTTTGGTATAGACACTGTCTAACGGAGCGCATGTTAATTACGCAGAGAACATCCTTAGTGAAAACATTAAAAGACTGAGGTCAGGGTGGCTGTATGTGTAGGTAACACAAGAGGTTTCTCCTGTTGTACATCAGCTTCTTAACGGTCAACACCATCGCCACAACCCTGCCTATCCTTAACCATCCCCTTCACTTTAGTTTACTTGCTATAATTTCTCTGTTAAGCTTAAACCGTCTCACGGTGGCACAGATATTGTGAAAAATAAATGATTTTCAAAACATTAAACACTGTAATTGAACAAAATCCGATTTAATGCGGAGCTGCCCCATATCAACATTCTTGCTGGTGAAAGTCTGCCAGCTGAATGTATTGTGAATTGCTCTTTGTTAATAAAAGAAGAATGAAGAGATTTGTTAGCCTCTAAGCTTAGTGAGCCAACCTTAAGCTGCACACACTTCATTCAAGGTTCGGTGTGTAAAGCAGGTTGGCAGGATTTCAACCGATATCATAAGATGTTCAAGGCCCATTCTGTTCTCGGCACTGACACGCTCTGTCTAGCGTGTTTCCTCGTGTTAAAGGGCTGATTTAAAGGGTTGATTCACCCAAATTAAGATGACATGTTTTTTAAAGCTGTAGCGCAGAATGCACCAATATTTTTAATCATGTGTCATTTACGTATCCAAGTGTCTCTGTGATCATTTTTAGAGATGATTTGAAGACCTCGTCTTGAGTTAATCTTTTTCAGAGTCAGGGTTTTTTTCTTTGCTCTTTCCCATCACAACGCTGATAGCCCAGCATGCGTGATAAAGCTGGAGTAATCTGCTCATGCTTTTCGGTGTGACATTACCTCAAACAAGAAATCCGCCCAACAGACGCTTTGTGTAATCACGTTCAGAGTTGCTGTCCGCATTTTTATTGTTGTTGCGACAGAGGCCGATAAAACGAGAGAAATCCGTCCATCCTCTAGGCACTGGGGCAAAGCTGAATACCAAAGTTATCTCCAGTCGTCAGCGTCAGGAGACACCAAAACTCATTTGCATTATTCGGCCGTCTGAGCTGTGAATAAATTAAATAGTGGAAATGGCAGCGCGAGCGCTTATATATTTTGCTCTGTTTCATTATTTCTGGCAAATGCTGCCTCAGTTCAGCCCCCTCCCCTCCCTCGTTTGTTTCGCTATTTTTTTTTTCTCCCTCCTCGCTCTTCATCCTTTCCTCCCTTCCACTGCGCATCGCAGCCGTCAGCGGATGGTACTATGTTTCTTTAATGCATTTTTATTGACATTTGCATATTTTTCAAAACACAGCGCCACAAACGCCACCGCCCCCCGATACGGTTTTAATTAAACATCAAAAGAGGCAAGCCTAGGTGCCCACTGAGACTGTTGGTTTAGTCAGACAGATGATATGCATGCAAGGAGTGTGTGTGTGTGTGTGTGTGTGTCGGTGTTTCCATGTGTTTGATCACATTAGAACTCTCACTCTTAATTTTTCTTTTTCTTTCTTTCTTAAATGAAACTATATTCAACCTTGTAGCGTGTAGATCTCTCACTGTAAACCAAAAAAGATTCACCTGACAGATGCACATAATTTAAGGATGTGAGCATCTTCCGAACTGACTTCCAAAGCACTGAGTTCTCTTAAAAATCAATCGATAGCCTATCAGAACGCACGTGCCAACACACTTGCAGCCATGACAGTACTGTCAAAGGTCAAATCAGAATGAGAGCTGTGTCAAACAGTCCCACGCACTCAGTTGCCCACCATGTCAAGATTATAGGCAAAGTTTCATGTATCTGATCAATTAAATGAGTGGTATTTAATAATTTTTGAGCTTTTTCATTTCATTCTCTTGTTTCACTGGTCGAGTGGTGGGTTAGGTGGAGTGATCGATCACTCTGCCAGCTGTCAAACGGATGAAATTCTCCAGTTTTGACACAGTCATAAATCTCTTCTCATGTGGGTGACAGTCCTTAATGTCACCCCTCCCCTGCCGGTACTCACCCCCACAATGGATTGTGCTGTAAAGAAACCCAACATGTCTATAACGTCCTGACGGCTGTCCTCCCTAGGGGGAAAACCCCCCAAATTGATTGATATCCAAACCTTCAATTTAGAGATGAAGACACCACGTGACGTTTAGCTGATTTACTTAAGTCCAGACAGAGTCACAAATCTTCCAGATGTCTGTAAACACGCGAATGACTTTTGCTGGAAATGAATCAGAGTAGACTGCTGGGAAGGAGGACGGACAGGTCAGCAGCCTTGGTTTCTAAGATGGAAACATAAGAGTCGTTTGGCACCAACAGAGGAAAAGATCTATCAACTTTTAAAGAGGTTCAATTATTTACTGGACTTTGTGTGACTTATTCATAGAGCAGGTTGCTGTTCTACAGTACACACACACAGTTTTAATAGCAGGTTAAAACATAATTGCAACCCCGACGTGCAGTCGAACTTGTCTTCATCCGACGTTTGAGTAAAATGCAAGAAAATGTCTGCAGTGGTTAATTTGAGATTGATTGTAAATCTCCACAGATGGCCTCTGTTAAGTGTTTCACACTACACAAGAATATTTTTAGGCTAATGCAAAGAAATCCTGTTTTTCTTCCCCTCTGTCCTCTATGATGTCAGCACAGCAGGCTATCAGCAGAAACTAAGCAAGGAAGTGTGCATGTAGCGTGGTCTGTTGTTGCAGAAATGTTCTTGTATTTTCAGCTATATTTAGAGGACCGAGCAATGATGGGAGACTCTTTGATGTTTGAGTCTATTGTATTCTGATTCTATAAAATTTCCCCATTGATAAAGGTGATGTGAAATAACAGAGCAACTTAAAGTGCTAGCTCCTGTATTTACGAAGTATATTTGCTATGCCTTTCTGCCAAAAAAGACACTGAGTCAATCTGAAGCTGAAAACCAAAAAAGCAACACGAGACAGCCCATTAATTGGAAGAAAGTATCTTTTCAACAACTTTTTTTCCCCACATAAATGATTGTGCTTGTTAAAATGCCTTTAAAAAAAAGGAATCTATTTATTTGATATGAGGGAACCAGACTGTGTGTAAAATTAATTACTTTTGCAGTGAAAATGCATAATTAAATCTTTGCCTTCTCTCCTCTATCTTGGCCCAAAGTTGCGCTGCAGCTTACTTCCTGCCCAGCGGGCATGCTATTTTGGTGCATATTCAGTAGTAATCAATGGAAAAGACTACAGGAGTGCATAGCTGCTCACCACAGGTCCCTGGAGCCCGTTCATGTACTAGCCTCACGTCTGGTATTAACAGAATACGAAGTAGAGAGGGCCCTCTGAATTGGTGGTTATGTTGTTCATAAAACAAAAATACAAGCAGCAGTGTTGCTTTTTAGCACATAAAGGAGAATGATTCAGTAAAATCAGTAACACAAGGCAGCCTATTAGAAACACACGCACACATAAACAAGGAGTGAACAAATGAAGGAGCTGGTTTTGAGGACACAAAATCTTTATCCGCGGCTCTTTTGTCATTTCGTGTGTACACAGCTGTGTGCGAGAGAGCGAGCGAGCGCAATCACAAGTGCAGAAAAGCTCACGCAAGTGCAAGTTGCTTGAAATGTGTTGCCTGTCGCCTCTGGAGGTTAACACAAAATCACTCAGTGGAAGACACATTGTCATTGACAAAGAGCTCTGCAAAGCAGGAAAGAAAAAAATCTGTCACCTTAGGTGTCAAGACTTTGTGCAGAATATTTTATCATTTGCATGTTTATTTGATGAGCATCTACCCCCTGCGCGTTTGTGATTGGACTAACAAACAGTCGCGAAGCCTGAGTGTGTAAGTCAGCCTGAGATCACCAGTGCTGTTATTGCTAATCAAGTTAATTAGAGGAAGTGCCGCGGGAGCCTGATTGACGGCAGCTAGGGACCGCCGGTCCACTTACTGCGGCCCGCAGGCTGTCATTGAGCAGAAATTGCAGAGAAATGTGGGTCAACGGGGTGTCAGGAGTGACTTGAGGCGGGCTTGGTGTTCCGTTGGGGTGTGATCAGCCATGCAGTTCTTTCAATTTCAACAGTTTTCTTTTCATTTTTTAAAATATGTCTTCCTAGGCCTTCCTCGTGCTGTAGCTCCTGATTTGATCGAAGATGCAGTAAGTGAAGCGAACTGGTGTGCCGTTTTTTCTTTACTTTTTTAAACTTCCTGCAACATACACACCCTAATGACTAGATCACCACCTTTATTGGATTAGACCAACAATATTTGCGTGTCATCTCATCTCTGACGGATATATCTCAAAAGATCAGGGGATCCCAGCTTGTGTCCCCTCCCCGTGTTATTTTTGCTCGTCTCTATTTTGAAGAGCAACACATTCTTAGTTGTACAAGCACAAAGAGGCTTCGACTCACCTCCTGCCTGTGATAAGTATTCAGTGGTAGACAGACACAGCCTGCGGGTATGCCTTTTGCTGTATGCTAATATAGCCTTTTCTCTGCACCTCCCTCTCCCTCGACTAATATGATACATAAATGTTTTTAATGTGAGGGAGGTAAAGGGAGTCGGATCAAAGCCCTGGCAGTGGAGACACACAGAAGGCGGGATTTTGCTGCAGATTGGCTGCACCCTATTGGAATCCTGTGTTGTAATGGGTTGCAGTTGTAGGTGATTATTCCTGCCAGTTGGCCACTGCAAGCATCACCTGGATTACACTGATTCACTGCCCTGCATAATATAGGGAATGATTTGGAATTGCACACAGACCCGAGGGGGGAAAAGTCCAATTAACATATGTATGAGCTGAGCGGAGATGGGAGGAAACGCTCGCCAAAATAATCTCCCAGCATTTCAGCGACATGTTACGGTGGGGTTAACAGTGTGGGCCCGCTGACTGCAGCAGCCACAGTCACAGCTGTGTCTGACCGGAGCACGCCGTGCCATCGCGCAACCTAACAAGGAGCCGTTAAGCTTTATAAGCAGCACTGTGGTGTCCTTGGCACTTTATCTGTCATATAACTCCACTAAGTGAGCAATAATAAGACTTCAGGCAGACAGGTAAGCAATCAGGGAATCAGAGGAACGTGTCCTCTCAATATTTGACGTGGTCTGCTAGTGACACTGCGGCCTAACCCGAAGTAATCCCCTCCTGAGTCCTGAAGTGGAGGCATGCTATTAAAATACCGCACTAATTAAAATGGATAAATTTACATGCCTCCTAGCAGGAGAGGATACAGACTGAGGCGACACCCGGAATGTAAAGTCCTGTCAGCCGGTGTGGTAGTACAGAAACAGAGCAGATTACACACTAGCAGAGCTGAATCCTTGATTGGAGAATAGAGAGAGGGAAAAGTATTCGTGCCTTTTTTCTTCTCCTTCCACTTTTCTCTATCCATGAGAGACAATTCACTGCACCTGCTCAGCCACTAAAACAATGCCTTGGCTACTGTGCTATGTGTTTGGCACCTCCCATCTAACTGTCAAGCTAATTTTCGTGCATAAAACAGAACAGTTTAAAGCCAGAAACTATGGTGTATTCTGGACTTGCCTGAAAGAAGGACTGATACATGCATGAAGAGATGGATTTTTCTATTTGGGAGAAGACCAGAGAGCGAAAGAGAGCTGGACAAGGCTTGTGAGCGACCAAGCTTAGGCCCGCCATTTCAAAGCTTCTCCCTGCATCCAAGGGAAAGTAAAAAGACAGCTTCAGTTCTTTTTTTAACTGTGTCACAAGATTCTTTTTACACTTGGGGAGATTGTCTTTTTTTTCACCCTCGTATATTGTCTCCAGTTAATAAATCAGGCAGAAATTTTGCCCCCCAGAGGTGGAGGATGATAAAAAAAATAGTTTTGGAGGGGAATTCTTTCATCTTTTTTATGAGTGTGAAACAAAGAGAATGGGAGACAAAGGCCTTATCGGAGGCTGCAGTTGTGTTTTAGGAGCCCGTCCTTGGGAAGTGGGCTGGTGAACTTTAATGCAGGCCAAGGTTGTACAGTTAAGCTCGGATCACAAGCGTACAACGGTTACACGCACTTGGAGACACACACACACACAGACACAAGGCGTTGAAATGAGATCACAGGGAATCAATTGTTTTTGAAGCGGCACCGAATTAAGCGGCATTGAGCAGCTTTCATATTTATGTGGCACCTCCGAGCTCTTTTGAAAAGCCAGCTCGCCTTCCCAACGCAGAAATCAATAACGGTGTTTCACCCTTTAATCTGAAACACTCACCCTCGGAAATGAGAGCGCCCGCGCCCGCGCCCGCGCTCGAGATCGGGAAAGATTTGCTCAATTACAGTTGTGGGAAAACAGTAGGCGGTCGTGGACAAACTATGTTACATCTGCTCTCATTTTTATTTTAATATCTGCAGTTCAGCTCAGGAGTGATCATAATTCAGACAGATGAGCCAAATGATCTGTCTTATGTAGATAACACTGATCTTTATCCCACATACCCCCTTTCTTTCATCAGAGTGCAACAAGCTAATTGCCACCGTCTGCGTTATCAGTTGATAATTTCCCCCCTCGTGTTAGCGCTACGAGTTGAGGCTCAGCTGAATATCCCTGAGCTGATAAATGAATCATGGGGCTTCGCACATGCCAAGTCAGCCCCCCACCCACAACACCCCCGTGTTGCTATCTAATCCCATAATGGTCTCAATAATGATGGAGCCATGGGTGGCGTCATTACAAAGGGCAGTTTCCATGACAGCACCTCTACTCATCTAACCAAAGCTCACAAGAAAGGTGGCGCAGAAGGAGGAAGCAAGTTTTGTTTCGCTTTGGTTGTGAAACGGCACCACTTTCCATTTCAACCACGGCTTCTCATCAGAAACTATTTGATGCCTCCGTCTGCGTTTTCCTCTAATCTGCAGACACACCACATTTAGCAGAGGGATCCGTTCCTCATGCGTGAAACTTTCTAAATGAAAACCACTACGGCGCCAGGCTATCATCTTTTGCTCGCTCTCGATACCGGAGTGCGCACCATCCCACCTAAGGCCTCAATCTTCCGACCGTCGGGCTGAGCCGGCAGCGCTCGCGTACGCATGCCGGCACCCCCGACTCAGAGAGCACACGATGCCATATAATATTTTCCCTGGTACATAAAGCTTTAAAGAAGTGATGGGATGGGAGGCTGTGATCAAAGCGTTGTTCACGCCCATTTTTTTTTCGTCAGGTTTTCACTCTGTTCTGATCAAGTCAGGTTTTATCGGCCCTGGCCTACACCCATCTGCCGCTACCAGAACCATGGGTGCAAAATCCTGTCCTCGTTTTAATGAAGTCATGCTGGAGTTAGCGTGTGAGGAGAAAAGACTGAGGCAGACACCTCTCTCTGATGTTCACATTTCATATCTGCCTCTGCCCAGGAGCTTGCCTTTTTTGAATTATTAAGCAGAGGGCTCTTTCTTCTTTTCGCCTATTTCTTTCTCTTTTTAATTCTCTCACTCTCTCAAAAAGCAAACTCTATCCCTGGTGCTCTTCCTTTTCTTGCTCCTGCATGTCAGTTCAACCAGCTTTGGCTGAAGCAATGGCTCTCACTGAGATGCAAATGGCAGCCTTTGAAGGGGCACACTGGGAACGTCAATTAATCCAGGCGTTTACGCGCAGGAAAAAAAAAAAGGCAGTGCAACCATTGTTCGTAGGCTGTTTCATCTCTATTGTGCTACAGGGACATGTTTTTATCCACTGTCCTCGTGCCTCCGGATTCCGTGGACTCTTCAAAGATTCAGGATACATCAGGATAGGTACAAAGGCAAGGAAATGACATAGGAAACTAAGGAAGTTGAGGTGACACAGGACTAGGGCTGCATTGCATATTCCATCATATCTCTGTTTCTCCCTAAACCCTTTCTAACACAAAAACCAGCGCTTCTATTTGTAGCGATATTCTAACTTACCTCACTATCACCTGTGCTCTTTTGCAACTCCAGACTTCTCTCCAACCTCAACTTTATATTCTCCCCGACCACTAAGGCTCTACTGTTTGCTACCATGCCTCTAACTGTGATCTCTGTCTCTTGGGTGGTCGGCCTTCAGATCTCAACATACCGAGCCCGTGCTTGCATGTAGCGTGCAGTCACGGGGCAGAGTGTGTGGTCAAGAACAACGAAGCGGTGTGCGAGTGTTCCGAAGCCTGCCCGCAAACGTCCGACCCCGTGTGCGGATCCGACGGCCAGACCTACGGCAGCCCCTGTGAGATGCGATTGATGGGTTGTGCGCTGCAGAAGGAAATCAGCATCCAACACAAAGGACCCTGCGGTGAGTACTCACTGTCACAAAACCCAAATATAAAAGTGCTTGCATCTCAGTAATGAATTTCAAATTAGCGTCATGCTCGTACGGTCACATTGCCCCATGCAGTCAGCTATAGTGAGGAGACATGACTGTGAAATGCTGTGAATCATAGCTTACAGACATGGAAGGATCTCGGAATATGATTTAGCAAATTAATTAATAGCACCACAATGCGGAGAGGCAAAATTATAATCCACAGACGTTAACAATTAACACATATAACTTTATATTCATGTGTGACCCCACTGGGAGCCGTTTCAAATCCAGCAAAGGCAAATCAATACTTAACACACTGATGAATTTCATGATCCCTTGTCCATTACTCTTTATCTGTTCCTCTGTGCTCATCATCAGCCCTTCTATAGCAACACCACAACTCCAATTTGCCTGTTTTGACCTTTAAGTGAAGATGCACTTTGCTTTTGATGAAACAGAGCGCGGTGCATATTTTTCTGTAATTGGCTACATGAGTCACTTGGCTTTGTCTTTCACTGCCGGAGTATCAGCTAGTCATTAGTATACCAGCGACAGTGGAGCTTCAAGTGGTAAAAATATCTCTATATCCACTATGCTGGCACACAGCCATATGGACAGGTTTTTGCAGCTTGGTAAAGCCACTCAGTGAGTACTCCGTGGCATAATGCCATTTTGCAACGCCAATTTTCCCATGGACTCTAATTGGTTATTGAGTATTCTTGCTTGTCTACAATCAAGTCATTCACTTTTTACTCAAACTGGGCAGAAGTACAGTGGCTGTTAGCCCCATGGCCAGACTGTCTGTGTAACTCAATTTTAATGCAATAGATTTTTTTTCCTGCATATTTTGACGACAGCAAAAGTCTGTTGGCCTCTGCAGTACTGTATTTGTGGATGAGATGAGCAGTTTCAAACATGATGAGTGCAGCACAATCAGTTTGGTCTTCGTGATCTAAAGTGTGAAAAGATTTTATGGTTGTTACTTATTTATTTATTTATTTTATTTTTTGCACAAAGGAACCAAAGTCTTTTAACAGAGCTCGTTTTTTTAGAGTTTTATACTTAGAATGACAGAGTTAGTTCCTGGAGAGTTGCTATGTGGACTCTCTGCCTGCCTGTGTACTACATCTGTCATCCTCCCCTCCCAGCTTTCTCTTAATTGAACTCCAGCGTGTAAGGATGTATGCCGCAGAGAAACAGATCTAAAGCAGTGTTCAGTTGGTGGGCCGGCACGTCAGTGCCACACCACAGGTAGACGGCTCGGAGTCCCTCCGCGGTAATGAATGGTCTTTATTTTAAAAAGCGAGAGGCAGGACGAGCTGGCGGGGCTGAGGGACTCTGTGTGTAATCCAGCACTATGGATGGTTCTTGGCTCCCAGAGGAACAGGCCTGCGTCAGCGCAATGGTGCCATAAAAATGCTGAGGCATTGGCTTGCCAAGCGCGAGCCAGCCGAGAAATGATGGCGATGATAATGTGGGTTATTTCTGGGCTGTTTGCACAGCTTTACTGGGCTTTTATTCAGCACCATAACAACTGACTGACTTAAGCTATTATCTCACCTAATTATCACCAGCTATTCCCTTCACTAATATACTATACAGGTTCACGAGGCAGAAAAGGAGCGAAACAATATGTGCTGCCTTCAGGTAGAGTAGGAAGAATAGGAATTAAGTGTTAAAGATATATGCACAGAAAGAAGGTGAATAAAATGAGAATGTCTGACCTTTGCACTGCAGAAGAGCAGCAGCACTGGTGATAATTAGGCTTACAAAATATACAGACTGTGCAAAAGTCTCGAGCCCCCCCTCATTTCTTTAGATTTTATTTCCAAGGAGCCAGACCTTCTTATATATGTGTTTTTTCTTTGTCAGTAATTCTCCAGAAGCTCTTTCGTCATTTTTATTTGGACATTGGCTGTTTTTTCACACATTTTCAGTTCATACCTTGTTCCTGACCATTTTCAGTTAAGTGTTTTTTGCTTGTTAAGCCACTTTACACTATGATTTACTCAATTTCATACCAAAAAGGCAATTACCTAAGAGTTATTATCTGACAGCTTTAACAACAAAAGAATAATTGGCAGGATTAAACAACTACAGTAGATCAATTGTAGCTAAAAGTCATGTCCTTAAGAAATAGGAAAACAATAAGGAGACATAGGAAACGATCCAAGATGCATCTGGACCTTCAGCTAATGCTCACCAAACCTTCATCAGAAATAGTCCCAGTGGAAGAGTGGCCATCAAGAAGCCATCTTTAAGTGAGGTAAACAGTGAGAAAAGGCTGAGATATGCCAAATTAAACAGGAGTTGGACTGAAAAGTGGCAACGGGTCTTATACATCAGGATATACATTACTGTACTGTACAGAGGAGGTCAGTAGAGAGGTGGGTGTCTACATTCATCTGTAAAACATGGTGTAACCTCTCTAAACGAAATGCCAGTGTAACTGCCAGTAAAAGCATACCTGGAAAGAAAAGAAAACCCACAGTGGAACACTATCAGTCATGTACTGGCCTCCCCAGAGCCTAGACCTCGACATTAATGAAGCAGTGTGGGATCATCATGATAGAGAATGGAACAAAAGGCAGCCAAGATCCAAAGAAGAGCTTTGAATGTCCTTCAGGAAGCCGGAAGAACTATTCCTACTTAAAGACATTACAGAAAGTCTACATAAGAGAGTTCAGGCTGAGTTGAATAATAAAGGTGGTCATACCAAATATTAACTTTCAGCCTTATTAGAACTGTAAAACCTCAAACTTTACTGTTGTCTTACTTTGTGTATTTCCATGTGTATTTGAATTTGTTTGAATAAATCGGTGCACCTGTTTCCCATTTTCCTAACAAAATATAAAGAGATGAGGGGCGGCAGTACTGTTGGTCTTTATATTATTTCATTTATATGATTTCCCGAACACTCACCAAGGAAAGGATGCATTTGTTTACTGTTGCCGTTTTGTTATTTCCATCCAAATGCTCTATAGTGTGTACGCTGTCATATTTATGGCTGCCAGGCTCAGAAGTAGGAGCTTAGGTGAGGCTGTGAGGGTAGCAATAGTGTAGCGGGTGAGAGAAGTGCCACAACAGGGAACTTAACTGTGTATGTGTGTGTGTGTGGGCAGCTTATTGCCTCTCATGGGCCCAGACATAATTTCATTTCTATCCCTCCGGCCTGGAAACATAGTGGTTATCTATATGGCTCAGGTGCAACCTGATAGCAATATGAGTGACATTTGTTATTATTCAGAGATTTTTCCTCCTCCTGCATTGGAGTGGCGGGCCACCTTGTAACAGGGGCTGGAAGAGGTACACTTGGTTAATAGACCCCCCAGCTGGATATCAGTCACCCCAGGAAAAAAGCCCATTCATGCTGACTACCCAAACAGATGAGAGCAGAGGTGCCTGAATCATTTGAGAAACAGAAATAACAACTTCCCCTTTTTTCTCCCACAGGTGTTGGAAATGATATTCTCAGTTGAGTAAGAAATATAGGTCACAGAGGCAGCCTGTGAGGAAAAAAATGAGAGAATAAAAGAGGGCAGAGGGAAAAAGGGAGGAGAATGTGATAAATGTTCATAGGAAAGGAGATGGAGGTAAATAAGATGATGAGGCGCAAAGAAAGTGGGGGGCAGAGTTAATAGTGTGCTGGCCAGGCATGCATCAACGGGGGAGTTGTTATCACCCAGGCATGTTCACAAGCCTTCAAAACACAAAGCAACATGCTTCTTTCTGTTTAATCCTGAGGTACTACTCCTCCCAGACCCCCTCAGCTGCAGTTCAGGTGTTCCCCAGTAAGGATATCTAAAAAATGCTGTAAAGCTGGAGGGTCTTTGTTGTTGTTTTTTTTGTTCAATGAGTCAGTTCTTTATGTTTTCAAGGACACTTTTCTACCAACCCACTCCTGTTCCTCCTTCTCACCTTCAGCTCCACAAACACTTTGTCCAAACACAGCAGCACAAACTGTTAAAGTGCAAAGTTGCTAACATCAGATCTCTGGGACTCCAAGGGGACCTTGGCAAAATATTAGCAGGTCCTCATCCAAAGGAAGAAAGGTTTTCTTTGATAGTTAAAGACATGCGTGAGGATATTATGAAACCCTGATTCCAAAAAAGTTTGGATCCCATGTTCCCATGTTATTATAGGGGCGATCGTGGCTCAAGAGTTGGGAGTTCGCCTTGTAATCGGAAGGTTGCCGGTTCGAGCCCCGGCTTGGACAGTCTCGGTCGTTGTGTCCTTGGGCAAGACACTTCACCCGTTGCCTACTGGTGGTGGTCAGAGGGCCCGGTGGCGCCAGTGTCCGGCAGCCTCGCCTCTGTCAGTGCGCCCCAGGGTGGCTGTGGCTACAATGTAGCTTGCCATCACCAGTGTGTGAATGGGTGGATGACTGGATTTGTAAAGCGCTTTGGGGTCCTTAGGGACTAGTAAAAGTGCTGTACAAATACAGGCCATTTACCATTATTAAAACGTTAATACAAACTGAATGCAATGATTTGCAAATCTCATAAACCAATGAGTTATTCACAGTAGAACATAGAAAACAATGTTTAAAACGCTCCATTTTACTATTTCATGAGAAATATTTGCTCATTTTGAATTTGATGGCGGCTGCAGGTCTCAAGATGGTTTGTATATGGGCAGTAAAAGGTTGGAAAAACTAAGTGGTACTAAAAAGAAACGGCTAGAGATACATTTTACAAAGGATTAGGTTAACTGGCAATATGTCTGTAACATGACTGGGTACAAAAAGAGCATCTTAGAGAGTTTCTCGAAAATAAAAGGTGGTCACAGGCTCACCAGTCTGGAAAAAATGACATATACAAACTTCAAAATAACATTTGTCAATGTAACATTGTATATCTCCAAGTCTAGGGCAGGGCTGTTGAACTCCAGGCCTCCAGTTCATTACCAGGCCTCTGGAGAACTTCAAGACATGTTGAGGGGGTAATTTAGCCATTTAAATGTGTTGGATCAAGGACACATCTAAAACC